ATATTAGGGTTGTGGGGGATTTCTTTCCCGATTCCATCTGTCTCCTTCCCATCCTTTGTGATTTGTCCCCTGGTGTCCATCTATTTCTCTGTTTTGGGGCCAATAATTCCCCCTTCCCGATCCTCCTCCTGTAAATTGTTGGTTGTAATGGGGGTTTTGATCTCTCCCAGCCTTGTGTGAATTGCCTATAAAATCTCTTTTAGGGGCAATCAATTAATTCCTTTTGTTCATTCTATTAATGGGTGAAATCTGTTACTAGTGGGGATATTTAAAGTTCTCAACCTCTGTCTCTGCATCGGTTTCATTCTTATTAATAGGTCCTGGGTCTTACCTTACTCTGAACCCCCATTGTCTCTCTTTCTTTTCTTATGTATCGGCTTTCAATGTTGTTCCGTTTCGCTATTTCCCTCTGATTCTTCCTCTGTTCTTAAGTCATCCTCACTTTTCACCAATCCATTCCCATTTTCCTCCTCCCTGTTTTGCCATTTATAAACGTTGTTATTTGTATAATCTAGTGCATCTCTAACATATATTTCTTATGTTACTTCTCTCTGATTGTTTTATCCTTCTTTTGTAAGTGTTGTTCCAATTCTTTTGACATATTAGTGTAGAGATCTGTCCTTAATTGGTTCTAATCTTTCCCTTAGGTTACTTATCTTACTTTCTGCTAATTCTATTTTTTTTTTTTCTTGTTAATAATAATTGCATGAACTATGGTGAAAAAACATGGTGGGAGCTGTCTAAATTTTCTGAAGTAAATTGGATCATATAGACAATCATATGTTGCCCCTCCCTAATACAATATCTACACCACTCTGGTAGTGATGACAGTTTTTAACTCCTTCACGACCCATGACGGAATAATCCCGTCATGAATTCTGAAGGGGTTAAACAGAAAAGCCGCCGGGACTCTGTTCAGATTTGTAGAGCCTGCAGCCAGCTTTAAAGTAGAAGCGATTCTGATGGCTCAGCTGCCACCAGATCGCTTCTACAATCTGGTAACCGGGCCGCCCCCCCCCCCAGGTGAATCTCCATACACCGATCTCCTCCCCATTCTATGGGAACAGGAGCGAGTGAAGCCCAGCAATAAGCTATTGAAGTGCGATCTTCACTTCAATAATTTATTTAGAGTGTAAAGGTGATACTAGAGGTCTTTTGGACCCCCAGTATCACCTTAAAGAGTACCTGTCACCACCAATCTGCTATCACATGGGGATCATGCAAGCCCCCTATGTGATAGCAATTAAAGTAAGGTTTAAAAAAAATTAAATAAATTAAATGTAAAAATAATGTAAACATTTTTTTAAAAGTCCTTCACCCCCGCGAGCACCCGCGTCGTCACGTAAACATGCGTCGGGTGCGCCCACGTACGAAAACGACGATTGCGCTACACATGTTGGGTATCGCCTCACACGCCTGGTTTTATACAGTGTTTTGGGGCACTAAATTTTACTTAAGTGCATTTTTCACTAAATTTGGGGGTTTAATAATAACTTGCGCTAATGTCCTGCAACATAAAAATTTGCAACTGCCACCATTTTATTCTTTAGTTGTAATTAAATGAAGCCAAGCTGCTGTTGGTATGGCCTCTCTCTATGTCCCAGTGAGCTATAGCAAACAAAATTGCTGCTTTTCTTCCTGGTATCAGAATGGGCTTTTTTGCTGATGCACAATCCATTGATACATTTTAGAGAAAAAGAAACATATGGCTTCCTCATGACTGCCTATTTGATCATTATTTTAGTTTTATAGCTGGCGGTTGATTGGTTGTTACTTCAGAAATTATTATTATTATATAGGATGTATATAGCGCCAACAGTTTGTGCAGTGCTTTACAATATAAGGAAGACATTACAATTACAATACAATTAAAGACCAGATGGTAAGGAGGGCCCTACATTCTACAAGGGATGGCTATAAAAAGGTCCTAACCGTTATCCACTCTGTCCAAAGCTTAAAAAAGAGAATTGGCTGAAGTGGCGCTCTATACTAGACCTAGAAAGCTACCTAGACTACCTAGAAAGAGGGAGTCATTGGTGAGCCCCTTCTGAATATGCTAGTTGCCTGGTGGTTATGCCGAACCATTTTGAATCACTGACCTGGGGAACACGTATATAGATCAGGAGAGTCAGAGGTCCTAATTTGCATTCTCGTTTACAAGCCAGTGGCTCAAAATGTAACAAAGCAGAACTAAAAAGGGAAAAGAATGGCTCTTAGGCTGTTTATATTCTGCAATAAAACTAACTTATCTGCCTGTTTGCAATCTTCTTTAGAATGTAAGCTGAGCATAGACAGCCCACTGTACATTCTTGCAATACCTTGGTATCAGAAAGAACGAACTCCCATGTGTATACAAGGGAATTAATCCATTTACCCATCTGACCCCCCACCAGCCACTCAAGATGGCCAAAGATCTCAAACCAGGGTGAAGATGTCAGTGGCGGCGAGGGAGGTGAGTTTAGTTCTGCTTTAACACAAATAGGTCAGCAAAACAACTAGTATTTTCAGAAAGAGGTGTCAGCAGACATTGGGTGGTCCTCAAAGCATGCCCCCTTTGGAAGCAGTGGAACTTTTTACACCAGGAAGTCCAGGATAAAGGTACAATGAGGAGAGTCCAAAATTCGTCATCAGAGTACAGTCCAGGTGAAGGCACGCAGCAAGTACCATAAACGAGGAGTCAAGACAGGGGTCGATAACCAGCAGATCCAAATAGTGGAGAAGGAAGGCAGGAACAGGAGAACAGGAAGTAACGCTTCATAGCTGCACTGGGTATGGCAGAATAACTCAGCAGCAAGCCTTGGCTCTGGTTGGAATTTAAACCCAGCAGGGACCAGAAACGCGGGTGTCAGGGCAACGTGGAAGCTGCAGACCCCTGGGAACCAATGGGACGGCGAGGAGAAGAGGGTGTGAGAGCAAGGCCCTCCCCACTGATGACCAGCACTTGAAGTGACTAATAGGTCATGGCAATCTCACATGCACGTGCATGCGCACACCTGTCAAAAATGTTTGAAATTACAATTATTTTAAAGTGATCCAGGATACCTATTAAAAAAAACCTGCCATTTAGTAATGGCCAAATAGCCCATTGTTGAAGCCAAATACTTTCAAGAGCACATGTGGGAAGAGAACATGGGCTGTCCCAAAATGGGAGGCAGAATCCACTGTTCTAAACACGTTTGGTCTCTGCTTTTCAAGTCCAGTGTGTATCCCACCTCACTCCTGACCGGTATATACCCCTAGGTGTTGGGTGATGTAATGATGGTGGATGGTGCTGCCCAAATCAATAAAGAAACAAATTGTCACCATCACACTGAAGGAAATTGTGCACAATTCTTCTTTATTGGTGAGTAGACATTATGTCTCAAAAGTTGAAACTTTTTGGGGCCGCTTAAGGTCCCTTCATCAGAAATGTCACTACCTTTGTGAAATAATGTCCACTTGTCAATAAAGACAAATTTTGCATGTATTTCTTTAGTGTGCTAGTGACAATTTTATTTCCGCTTTTTTAGTGCTACACCCTTGTGGATGACACATGACCACTGCTCAGTCATGGGATCAGTTAATTATGGGACACTGAATGTCTTCCTATAGTGATCCTTGCCTGCTCGGCCCTGCTACCCACCTACAATCACCTTCCTTCTCCAGTACCACGGCACCTCCTGTTTTGAAAAGCGCTGCTTGAGGACCACAGGTCACAGGCTACTTAAACTTTATATATACCACACAGTTGCCAAGCCTACTGCCCTGGCAGGCTTACCAGAACTTGTTATTATTTAATTGTAGGATTGCATATTGTCGATTCCTGTTATAAAATGTGTAGAATACACAAGAACAGGCTTAGGTTTTACATTTACTTATATTGCTATAATCACATTTACAATTTTACCATTGACTTTCCTCACAATTGTGCTGCTGTTTTTAGCTCACAAAGGTCAAAGACTACATGCGGATGTTGTTTTACCATGCCTTACCCGCACTTTGACCATAACGCCTTTGCAAATAGAAATTATTTATCACTATGGAAAGCTTGCTTGCAATATGTTGACACCTAATCATAACATAAATCAACATTTACAACACTGTACTTATCGTACAAGTGTTGTAAATGTTGAAAAATGGTTAGTGACGTTAATAATAGATTTTCTGTTAAACTTCAATAGATTTCGTAAACAATAAAGTTATCAATGTGCAATCCTTCATGTCATTTCTGCTATAAGGAAATAAAAGAATTAACAACTGACTTCTGAACTTATTGATTTTTATTTAATAACAGTATGCCTTTATGCCAGTTTGACAGTAAGTTTCAAAAGATTAAATTATAAGAAAAACTATTTTAATTCTATGGTAATTGCTCAATATTATTTAGGGTGTCATGCACCAAGTGTAAACCCTGACTCAGGTTCATACATACTTTTATTTTTCGAGGCTTTTGACTTATTTACTCGTTTGGGTGTGTATGTTGGCCAGCAAAAGGCAACCAAACGTAGCTACTTGTTTTTATTCTGTTGGATGGAGTACTACCCACTGTAGGAGGGATTGCTGAGGGTTGATGGGCTATTGAAATTTTCATAAATCTTTCTGTACACTCTTACTAGAGTGCTGCTTTGGTTCCAGATCACATGAGCTATTGCCGTGGTGGCCATGAGGGCTTATGCAGTAGAGTTTTCAACCAAAATGAGTGAAGACTATGTTGACATTTGTGCCCAGAGTGCAGAGTTTTTGCAGAGCACACAGCCTAAAGCCAGGCCACATGACCCAGGAATCAGAGCATTGCACAATTTTCTTGTTACAGCAGATGGGCGAGTATGCTAATTTTTATACCATTACTCACCCTCTCTAATTGTTTAAAGTGAACCACATTTTTTTAAAATCGCGTGCAGTGTTGTCTTCTTAAATTTAAGCAGGTTTTCAGAATCTGTATATTCACCATCTTCATATGTTGGTGTATAATTCATGCATTTTCTGTAGTGAACTTATTCTTTCATTTTGTCTCATCATAGTGTATTACGTGCTGCGTAAGTCCTGTAAGCGTTGGTCTCTGCAAATGGTGACGTTCACAGCTCCAGATGCTCAGGTGGCTCATGACTGGGTACAACGCATTCAAGAGAAAATACAAAAGACAGGTATGTAAAACCTCTCTCATGGCAAAAATCTCTGTGTCCACATATTTTGTTTAAACCAAAGCAGTGGTGTTTTCAATAGTTGGGGTTATGGTTCAAATTTAATGGCTGTATTAGAACATCCACACCCAATATCTGATTGGCTGCTTTTCAGGACATACACTTTTTCCTTTTGTCAGACTTGACTCATTGGACCTTGTAAAGAAATAAAATAGACCTAAACTGCTTTTGAAACATGTCACTTAGGTGGCGGTACAACATTTCGGCACCACAACAAAATGGCACCATTTATAACCAACATTGTTATGAATGTGTGGCAAAGTATAAGCATCAAAAGGTAAGCACAGACCTAATAGTCTGGGTAAAAATTTAGTTTATGGGCTTAGGCATAGACTGAGGGCCTTGGTTAGGCTGATACAGAGTATGCTGTTAAAGCCCAATTTTTCTCAAATGGGAACCTTCTCAAGCAACCTTCTAGAACCTAACCTGATTCTGAAATTTTAACCATTCACACTTAGAGCCCAACTGAACCCTCTTAAAGTGTAACTCCACTTTTGTTGAGAAGAAAACAATCCACTCTGGGTGATCAATGTACATTCTAACAAACTACCTTTTTTTGTTTTGAGGAAAAAGCTGTTTGTTTCCCCCATTTCTAGACTGATTCCTGAATGGGAGGGTCGGGTGTATTATAATCACCAGATGCACTCTCAGTGTTCTAATGAGGATAATTGCATTGTCTGCATTTAGAAATAGTTAACCCATGGAGAGAGGCCCACCAAAAATAACATTTCAATTGCAGTAGATGCCTAAAATATTATGTACTGTATGTCTTAGTGCAGACTTTTGGGAAAATCAGTGAGCCAATCACAAGCAGGAAGTGACATTTCTGGGGACATTCCGAATACCAACGGTGTACAGAACGCCTCCAGGTTACCACATTGCACTGAATTTTAAAAAAGGTGTCTTCAGATACAAAAGGAAAGGTTATTTTGAATACCATTAAATTGGTGGATTTTTCCCTTTCATGTATTACTGTAATGCAGTCAGGCTGTAATGAATATGCCTTTTCTACTTTTTTTTTTTTAATCTGCAAATTGCTGCAACAAAGGTTACAAAATGCTGTGTTGACAGATCTAAAAGAGTTGGACTGCCATTTGCACACATCTCTCCGACATGCCCCTCCTGAAAACTACTCTAATCAACAGCCCTGCTCAGTTGCTTAGAAGTGTTCAGTGGAGAGTGCCGGACCCAATAGCAGAACTACTACTATAGCTGCCCACACAGCCGCTATGGGGCCCGGGGCATAGGGGTGCCTGGTCAAGAGCAAGAGGGAGAGCTAAGATTGCTCTCAGTGTCGACACTGCTGTGGCGGAGTGATCTCACTCCGATGTCTGCCTGATCGTGCCAGCTCTGATGTGAGAGTCAGCAGGTGCCAAGAAGGAGAGGACTCTCAGCAAGGTACCTCCTGTATGCTGGGGGACAGTGGGGCGCCTGGACTCACAGCCACAGTACAGGCACTGAATCTGGAATGGGGGTTTTAATGTTTACTCTTCCATATCAAAGAAGCTGATGAAAGTGGGATTATTATTCATTTAAACAAATTTTGCTATGAGGCCCTGTGACTTCTAGTTATGCCCCTGGTTGGACCAAAGGAAGGGTTGTGTGTAAGAGCTGAGGACCAACTCTTCTATGTGCTGGCAGCATAAAAACAATTACAAAAGAGGCATATTTATTATTGTATATGCAGCCTGACTGCTGACTCATGATTGGGAGAAAATCACACATTGTTATTATAGGTGTGACAATACCTAAAAAACTGACTCATCTACTTCTAGACTATTTTCATGGGCAGCTTATTTATGAAGATATGGCATAAATGCTGTGATCTCATTAATTAGACCAGCTCACTCATTAGGAAGGATCTCACTAGTTTGTTATTCATTGAGTCTTACTCACCGAGTGAGTACTTGGCATGTGCCTCTATTTTAAACCTATTGGGGGTGATTTACTAACCTAAACACACGCACGCACTAGGTGCGTGTGATTTTTACACAGCAAAACGTATTTATCAACCAAAAAGTCTCTAAAAGCATATTTCCACTAATGCCATATATGGAAAAATCATGCACATGATGCATATATAATGCTGCTTTACAGTTTAGACAAAAATGGTTAGCTCATGCATTTACATTCCTGCATTCATCAACGTTAGCAACACAATGTAGAGCTAATTTACACAACATCACCTTGCAATTCATGCAGGGCTTTGCACAACACACCTGCTGGGTGTGTACACACTACAAAGGTGTCTAGATTCCACCAATAGATCATGCTGGGAGGTAACACACTACAGAGGTGTATACTTGTTCGTGGCGTGTTTATAAGGTTAGTAAATCAACCCCATTGTATCTCATTTACCTATAATGTCTGAAATAGGAACGACCAATCAGATTCACACTTTAATTTTCCAACTCTAACTCCAACTTTCCAGCATCTTCTGACTTCAGACGCTTTGATAAACAAGGCCTGTGCAATTAAAAAAGCCACATTTGATCACATATGATTTTATTTTATTACATGTTTGCATCTGCATATTTGTATTTTCATATCCAACCTGGAGGTGAATCTTTTTTTTGTTTAATTCTTTATTTGTAACCGCCAAGTTAGGTACAACAGTCTGGCAAGCTCAGCAAATGAATGATAAAAAAACAACAACAAACTTGTAATAAATAGACAATTTACAGAGAACTGGAAGTAATGCACATTGACATCCACTAAAGAAGTAAATAGGCATAGAAACAAAGTCCACTGAGTACTGATAGCGGTCAAATAAGCTCAGGACGTAATCAAGCTACAGTTCCAATTGTTAACCAAAAAAGTGTTCATTTTGCCGGCCTGAAACATGTTGATGTACCACCAAATACAGAAGTTTTATAAAAGGCAGCATAGGATAGACAGTGGACAGCAACTCAGACCCGCAGATTTAGTCAAAAGTGGAGATGGAGAAAAAAAGAAAGTGGAAGAGTTGTAGAAAGCTCAGCTCCTTTTAACATTGTTTTTTTAGATTCCTCTGTTGAAACTAAAATGTTGTTTACAGAGCTCAGTAGTTCAAGCTGAAATTTACACACACAACTGAATGCCAGAGCAGTGGCAGCTACCCCCTCCTTTTCCCCAGATTTTCAGCTTTGGCAGATTTTATCTTTTTGTGTAGAATGAATTCTCTGTGATACTTATGTTAATGGTGTATCATACTGTATATTAATATTTATATGTAAAACAAGGATTTCATTTAAATCGGGGGAAAAAACTGATATAGAACATTGTTTGCCTTTAGCCAATTATAAAATCTATTGATTGCCATTTCTGTGGGAGCCAGTGAATTAATTGCTAACCTGTTCACGTGACACCTGAAGGTTAGCTAAGAACGGGCACTTTTTTTGCTTGCAGAGGTTGTTGACAGTGTAAATCTGCTGTAATATGTTATATGTTTTACTATTTGCACTAACTACTTGTTTCTACAGCAGGTCAGAGCAGGCCAAGAAAACTGCTTGTATTTATTAACCCCTATGGAGGGCGCGGCAAAGCATCAAGAATTTACTACACCAAAATAAGCCCCCTCTTCCAGCTGGCTGGGATTGAGAGTGATGTGATTGGTAGGTTTCCTCTCTTGTTTTGTATGTTGCTATTTATAAAAATAATATTAAAAAAAACTAGCTTGCTGAAAATAATGTTATCAATGTATGGTTATGTTTAAAAAATATTATGGGGGAAATTTATCAAAGCAATTGTGACAGTTTTAGCCTCTTAGATCATTTTTTTAAATGTGCAAATCTGTCTTTCAACATGTGCCCCTTCTTTGACCTGAGCTTGTACTACTTTTCCAACTGCACGTGTTTTGCACCTGTTTTGGCCTGAGTTTGCACTACTTTTTCAGTTGCATGTTTTTTGCACCTGTTTTCATCTGCACTTGTCCTGCGGCTGTCTGAAACCGGAGCATCACCTAAGAAAACAATCGCAACTTAAGAAGTCCCCATGACCACTTCTTCAATATTTGCTAATTACATATACAGGTTCTGCTTCCTTCTTAGCTAAATGCTTTAGCATTGCTAAAAAATGGTTATACCTTACTGCTTCTTCTCACAATGCGTCTGTACGAGTCAGCTAACTCAATTCAAGTCTGGGCAAACAATGGCATATTCATACAGATGAAATACACATATAGAAACTGTTTTTTTCATCAAATTGGTATTTCTGTTTGTCTAGTCCTGACATTTACACTGCCCTACCAGACTGTACAGCATGGCAGATGACACCACATTCTCTGTTACAGTCATAGACTGTAGAAAGGATATAGTGGTGTCCTTCTTCCATTCTCTGCCTGCTGTATGGTCAGTGAATGTGCAGCAGGTTGAGGAGGACAACCCTCTTCTCTCTCCTCATATCATCATGTTCTTTGTGAGGACATCTGCATACAGCACAACAAACTGATTCCCAATCCAACCCCTCCCTCTCCCAGTCTGAGCTCTGCTGTATAGGGAATTGCACAGAACTTGTATTAAGTCAAATTACAATGCATTTAACACATGTTTACACAGAGACATAAGGACATCATAAAATGTTTATTTTGCAGAAAGTGTTGCCACGTTTTTTTGCTGAAAATCTGGATTTTGACTATTATAGAAGCACGAGTCTTAAATGTCTTTCCCATTTTTTTTTTCTTTCAGAAACTACCAGAGCTAATCATGCTAGAGATTATATAATGGACTCTGATCTCCAGAAATATGATGGGTAAATAATATTCACTGAACTAAAAGCAAAATAGAGTGCCAAAGTGGACCTTTCAGTCTTGTGTAATTTCTGGAATCCCATTAAGTCACTTTCTATCTCAGAGGGGGTGAGAAATCTCTACCAGGATCCGCCCCTGAGGAGATACTTAGCCGCCGACTTGTGTGGCAGCAGGCTTCTATCATGGATGGTATTGCAGACTTTTTTCTGATTTTCTAGAAATATTGAAACAGTTTAAGGCTTGCATATTTTGGTCAAAAGTCCATTTAATTTAGACTGACTATGGTATGTATACCTATATGATGACATAAACAAACCTATAAATATATCTTATGAGGACCAAACCACTTTCAGGTATGCAAAGGCAAAATGTGTTGTCACAGTTGAGAGACTCGTTCCAAAGATATCCATGATACAGATGATGACACAGTATATTGCAATGGTCTAATTATTCATGATTGATTGAGCAGTAACAGCACTGTAATCACTGCGATTAGCTATCGTAGTGATCACTGTGCTGGGACCCCCTCAATTGCTACTGAGGTTCTGCCTCGGACACACCGAGGGACCCGGCAACAGCATTACCTCAATGACCGATAGTCCCTCCATGTACCAGTGCTCATTATACTGCTTGATGGGATTATTCGGTCACCGGTCTTTAATGAACTGAAAGATCGTGCCAGAATAATCCGGTTATCAAACGGGAAGAGAAATATAAGAGCTGGCATTGCTAAAATTGTTTTTAAAATATGAATTGCCTGGCTTTATTTCTAACCTGCATGCGTGTCCCAGTTCTGTAGTTTACCTTACTGTATGTAAACCCAATGAGCAGCATTGACAGCCAGACCATTGGCATTTTCAGAAGGTGAGGACAACAGTTCTATGTTTTGCTCATGATGGGTTTACTTTAAAAATGCACTTGTGTTACCTGTCAATTGAATTAATTAACATGATTGAGCAAGACCAAGCAAAAACGTTGTACACACCAGTTGTTAGGTAAAGTGCCTGAAAACTTGCTGAGACAGACAATATCTTATTCATCTATAACCTTGATTAACTATTTGAATTAGATTTATAGGACAACTTTTAATGGCGTTTTAAAGTCACAGCGTATGCTATCCTGTTATAACATCAGCATTTTAATAGGAATACATACTAGAGTTGTTTTTTATAATGCAATCAAAGTTTACTTGAAAAAAATCCCTTTTATGTAATGAGAGCTACCTTCTGTCTCCCCTTAACAACTTCCTGGATTCCCAGTGTGCTTTGCATCTCTTTCAATGCTGCTTGATGTGATGCAATCTCCATTTCTCAAGACTACTTATCCCATTATCCATTGCTTCCATGTTACATTGTTCAGACACTGAGTTGTAGTTCAGAAGGCAAGCTCTGTGTGAGTTTTGACACAATGAAGTGCATATTTACTATCCATGAAAGAAGTCCATTCTATGGTGGTCTTCATTAAGTAAGTTTACAAACTTCCAGATTTATCATTATTAGGAGTGGGATGAAACTTATTGAAATTAAATGTAGAAATACATATTTATTTTTAGTTTTGGTCCATAGAGACCCTTTTATTTCCATGGTATACTGTGAATGTAGATAATATTCTGGACACTTTGGTAAAATCTCCACATAACAGACTAAATTATTTTATAATTTGGGAAAAAAGATTAATGTTCTGAAAGAAAACAGTAAATGTTGCATGTGCAAAAGGTGGGCTCACTGGTGGTTTTTATGACATTCTTTCCTTCTCTTCTCTAAAGGTCTTTTCAGAAATATTTGCATTTACTTCCCATTTGCAATCTACCCAGAGATCCTCAGTAACTGTTGATTAAAGATACTCTTTGGCTTCATTCACACTTTGTTTTAGAATTCCCGCGACAGATATCCCAAATTGCCTGTTTAGATGCAGCCACTGTCACCTGTTCAAGTTAATGACCAGGTGACATTATATGCGGTTCGGAACAGATAACTGTCCCTGGACACAATGATCATGTATCTAGGGATAGTGATCTATTCCAAACCGCATGTAATTTTATTACATATGATAACATGGGGACTGCCACTTACAGATGTGGTCGCTGTGACCCGATCATTAACTTGAATGGGTGACAGCGGCCGGATCTAAACTTGACATTTGGGATTCCTGTCACAGGAATTTGTAGTTTCCTGCGGCAGGAATCCCGAATCGCACATGTAATGTAGGCTTTCTCTAGAACATGCAGTATATGGAAGACTACCCTAAAATATTTCTGAAAAGATCTTTAGGGAAGAGAAGGAAAGAATGTCATAGGCTGGAATTGCCAGAGAGCCCACCTTTTGCACATGCAACATCTACTGTTTTACTTCTTCTTTCAGGAATCGTTAATAGTTAATATCTGTGCTATTATTATTTTATTCATCTTAGTTTTGATTAAAAGTATAAAATAAGAGCATTTACCTAGAGTTGCCTACACATACATGCATCAGCTCCATAATTTTTTTTATATGGCCGAATGCCGGCCCGTTCTGACAGGCAAAGCTCCGGCACTAATTGATCATTTTGTCTACATGCAAATGGTACTGGTAGTGAGTTTCCTTTCTTTGTGTTTGCAGGGTTGTGTGTGTTGGCGGAGATGGGATGTTTAGTGAATTGCTTCATGGTCTGGTAAAACGCACCCAGAGTGACAGTGGCATTTCTGAGGACCAGGAGGATGCAAGACTGACACCGTGCAGCCTGCGCATTGGAATCATACCAGCAGGTAGAACAGTGACTATGCGGGAAGGGCAGAGGGAATATACAGTGTGTTCATTTTCTTTTTATATGTGAATATGATCAGCTTAAAGTGAAGTTTTCCATTGCCAAAGCATGTAAATTGTGCTTCCTTCATAATCCACTCCATCAGTTGTTTCCTATGCACTCCTCCCTTCTGTATAATGTGCAGTCTGAGCAGACTAAAAGCTGTTACTAATATTGACTTTTCATCCCTCATTTCTAACCACTCATCTGGTCACTGATGTATGCAGAGAGTATGACACATGATTGTGGGAGATGTCTAAAGTTCAGTAAGTAACTGACAGTCTGGGTTCACCTTCTCTGCCCTGCAAGATGCAACAGGCCTGTGGAGGAATAACAAAGACTCGGCAGGGGTGGAGAAACCTACTGTGCAAAGCGTTTGTTTGCTGATTGTGCATCAGTGAGTTTATTTTTGTGAAGTGTCTTCTTTACAAAAAAAAAATGTCTACAATGTACATTGAATGAACTTAGAAAGAAATGTCGTTTGCAACTATTACTGACATTGCTTTGTTTATGAACAAAGCTCTGTAATCACTGGCATGGTGATCACATGATCAGGAGCCACACTGATTGGTAGATGTAGATAAACGTTGCCTCTTCTCCCCCGGGCTCCAGCAGTCCAATAACCCGTGAGATCATCACATCAATACAGTATATTAGACATGAAGATGCTGAGGGACATTCCACAGCTGGAGCAGAGAGGGAGAGCAGTCACCACCATAGGACCAAGGATCGGGTGAGTGTTTCTTTTTTATTTTAGACTCTAGCCTGGCACCTGACCCTAGCACTCAAGTGCCTGGAGTTCTTAAAGTCCTGTCAAGTTGATTTCCATCAGCGATCTGTCTTCTGTTTGGGTCCTAAGTCTTTCAATGGCATGTTCATAATTTTTGTGACTGCATTCTTTCACGTTATTGCTTGTTGTCCTTTTCATCCTCCTCTTTTTCCTTCAACATTTTCAAGTATAATTGTCTTTTCCATTGAGTTGGTTCTTCTCAGAATATGTCCAAAAAAAAGGAAACATTTGTGACATGTCGCATGACATTTCATGTGTTCTTGAGTGTCTGTCTCCCTTATGGCAGTATACAGCAGTGATGACATGTCACATCCTACATGTGTCTGCAATGGGAGCAGCTTTGAGCACTTATCATACAAAGACTTAATATTAATAATAAAAAAAAAAAATTCATGATGACTTTACTTTAGATACACATAACTTAGATCAGGGGGCGCCCACAATTTTTCGTTTGGAGATCTACTTTTCAAATGACAAGCTCAATGAGATCTGTCAATGAAAAAACACTTGCGTTCAGGGGAGGGAGGGAGCGTGGCGGTTCATTGAAGTCAATGGCACCGCAGCCAGGCCCCTCATCCACAGTGTGATCGCCTGCACCCGGAACCCAGGCACATTAGTGCCTGCGTTGCGGTCCAGTGCGATCTGCAAAAATGCTGCAAGATCACACTGGACCGGAATGCAGGCACTAATGTGCCGGTGATCAAACTATAGGCGGGGGACATGGCTGCGGTGCAACCCCACGCCCCCTCCCTCCCCTGAACGCATTGCAGTGCGTTCTAGAGGCGCGGGCGTCCTATCCGCCCACTTGTGTGCTTGTGTGGCCGACGTTGCACACGGGGAGAGGTGTCCCGCCCCTTTCCGTCTGCCGCCTCTGACACATTCAGCCGGCAGCAGTAGCCAGCTCCCTTTGCACACGTGGCAAGAAAAAAAAAGTGCCCCCGCAAGCAGGCGTGTGACCCCAACAGGCGTAAACAGGTCTAAACAGCCCCCTGATATTTCCCTTTTAAAATAGAAAAAGAAATTGAGGACACAAAGTCCTCAATCTCTTTTTCTGCAGCCTCTGTTCTAAATGAATGGAAAGCACAGAGGCTTCCCATTCATTCAGAAAATATTTACTATCACCAGTTTCTGAATGGGGAGAAGCCTCTGTACAGAGTGCTTCTCCCCATTCAGAAACTCATGAATGAACAGGAAGTGAAGTAAATCACATCGTGTTCATTCATAACTGGGGACACATAGTACTATGTATCCCCAGTTATTTACAAACACTGGAGTGATCAGCTGATCGCTCCAGTGTTTGTCCTGCACAGGGGACCGGTACATATTACTGATATGTACCAATCCTCTGCCGCTCGGCCACGCACAGGGGGGCTCAGCTTCTCCTCCGGATCTCCCCTGCTCTCCCGGCCAGAGGCAGCGGGAGATCCGAGGAGAACAGAAAAAAGCACTTCAGCCGCGGGGGAGGGGGAGGCGGGAGCAGTGAGGAGAGAGAGAGCCGCCGGCTGTCAGATGCAAGCCGAACGGCTCTCTAAGTCCTCAACGCGCTGCTGTGATAGCGGTTCTGTCCCGCGCCGCCGACTGCAGCTTCACTTTTCCTCGGATCCCCGCTGCATACAGATGGGGGAGAGCAGCGGGGATCCAGAGAAGACAGTACATTGTGATCTATCAGAGATCGCTACGCGATCGACAGGTAGATCGCAATCGACCTTATGGGCACCCCTGACTTGGATTGTAATTCTCTGCTTTTCCCCTTGCAGGTTCTACTGACTGTGTGTGTTTTGCTACCATGGGGATCAATGACCCAGTGACATCAGCCTTGCACATAATTATAGGTAACTAAATGTCTGTGTTTATATGGCCTTTTTTGGGGGGTTAACCGTTTTTGATTTACTTATAAACAATATACAAAACTAGAAAAAAAGCAGCATAAAAGACAACTTACGAGTCAGCACATAACATTTCCTAGAATCTTCTTCAGAGCAAGAACCACCCAGGAACTTCTCCCATTTTGATTCAAATGAAGGACGATCCCCTGTCATTCCCTTCCCCTGTAACAGCCCATAGAGAGAGAGGAAGACGTATGCAAGGGATTGTCAGTAGAGAACAGGAAAGTCTCAAGGGGTGTGTCGAGAGGGGGCGGGTACAGCCTCTAGATGGGCAGAGCCAGCTTTCATTCACGCAGCAGGGTGTATCTCGACAGCATTGTCAGGATCTGTCCTGGCTGTGGCGTCTCAGTATACCGCAAGCTGTAGCTCACGATATACTGAGCTTTGAGTCACGGGAGGACGCTAGTATATGTCCTCCTGTGACCCTTAAGAGAACTATGGGGAAAAACACTTACCCATAGTTCTCTTTTAACCATTTAAGCCCAGCTGACAGTTTACAATGGCACTGGGATATTGGCTACAGCAATCTATTGCTGGCTATTAGAAGTGATCTGCTGCTGCATGGGGATCTGAATCTGGTCTCCACTCGCTAGATCCAGATCCCCCCCCACCCCCATGAAAAAAAAAATAATACAAAATAGTTATATATATATGTGTGTGTGTATTGGGGTAACTATATGGGTGGTGCACAAATTACGTAAACATTGCGCTGGGAAAAATGACAGAAATGCATTTTCTTTTCTCATTTTCTACTAGTTATTCCCCAAAAACGTAAATGTAAAAATATGTATCCATATTCCCTACCAAACTAAAGCCCCATCTGTCCAAAGAAAACATTGCATAATATGTAAGGCTAGACTACAAAACCTAAAAGATATAACATGCTGAACCGAAACATTGCTGAAGTGAAAACATAAGCCCCGGGACTCATGTGGTTAAAGTAGAACTCCAGGCAAAAATAATATTAACCCTTGCAGTGGGGATACCCCCCTCAAACTGCAAGGGTTAACTGCTCATTTGTTTCTAGGGCTGGAAAAAATAAGTTATACTCACCCAATCCTCCGAGCTGGCAGCATTCCCCCCATCCTCATGTCCAATACACTTTACAGGATGTGATGACTCAAGGATCCTTAGACCGCTGCATAGTTAGAAAGGAGCGGTCTAATAGCAAGCTGGCTCGCAGGATCGGGTGAATATAAAAAAAATAATTTCTTTTCAGCCCTAGACACAAACAAGCAGTTAACCCTTGCGGTGACAAGGGTTGCCTGAAGTTCTGCTTTAAGCAACAATAATATGCAAACATTGCCAACTCACAGCAGCCGGCCAGATATTAATAATAAATTTGATCAGTAAAATGTTTATGATTATATCTATGCCATGTTTGTATACTGCATAACTTGTAAACATTTCTAAAGCTAAACACCTTTAACAATAAACAGACATTTTTACCTTATATATCCATTTATATAAACATTTGTATTTTTATTTGCAGGAGACACACAGCCTATGGATGTATGTGCTTCCTACCACGATGGTGAGCTCATGAGATATTCAGTGTCTCTCATTGGCTATGGCTTCTTTGGGGATGTTCTGAGGGAGAGTGAGAACATGCGTTGGGTGGGACCCTTGAGATATGACCTAGCAGGTGAGACTTGGGCTATACGTCATATAATTCAAAGCTTATGGATGCCTGACGTGTGTTTTATTGTGAAGGGAGCACACAGTTTGTGTTCTGGCAGCATTTAAGTAAAAGTAATTTTTAATGCGACTTTCAATTTTTTAATGGCTTGCTGTTCCATATTTTCATGATTATATTACTTGTTCAACTTTTTAGATGATCTGCTTAGTTAAAGAGTAGTTGACCACGATCACTGTGTAGCAGTACAAGGCCAGGGGCATGGGTGGCATGTAAAAGGTACATTTAAAAGTCCGATATACCTATATGTTTACTTAAAAACACATAGGGGAAGAAGGGGATCCCTATGCTATAAGTTTATGGTTGCTGAAGTAACACATGAGCTTATACCCTAGGAATGCAGCTGCCCTAAGGGTTACTTAGATGGCCAGCAGCAAGCAGTTCTGAACAGCTATTACCCTTGTGGTGGTGGCAGTAAACAGGTTAAGGGACCACTGTATGAAAGGTACAGTTATCCTTTAAAGAGATAACTTTAAGGGTTAACCACTCATTTTGGTCTAGGGGAGCAAATAAAGAAAATATACTTACCTGATTCGCGATCCGGCCAGACTGCAGCCTCTTCTTCTCCGGGCTCCAGCGTTCTAAGCCCGTCACGTCTATGCAAGCTCCATTCACTTGCATTATGCCTGAGGACACCAAGGGACATAATACAGCTGGTGCGGGGGTGGGGGCTGGGGGTGTTAAGGATGGAGGTGAGCGGTCATCACCACAGGATCAGGTAAATGTATCTTCTTCCATTCCCTAGTCCAAAACGAGCCCCGCTGCTAGGGTTAACATTAAAATCCTGGAGATCTTCTTTATAGTCCAAAAGTACATACAGTATGCATCTAAGACAACTCTTTCCACACGTTGACGACACTACTGTGCAATTTCACATTGGAATGCACAGTGTTGTCACCCTATTTCAGGAAGTAGAAAATTTATAGATCTACTGGCAGGATCTCCAGGTAATAAAACAATATTATAGGGGGACTCAGAAAAACAAAAACTCCTCTATTAATGCAACTGATAAACTGCATCACGTTTTCACATCATTAAATATTTGGTTCCATAAAATGAACACAGTTACTGGAATATGTCCGAATATCAGCCTCCTGTAACAACCGCACAGCAGCAACCAGGGAGAGGGAAAGACAGCACTTTGGGCCAACCACTATTACTTTGCACATTGTTCTTGGTTTACCACTGGAAACATGCTTACAGGAGTAAAGAACAGAGCAATGGCCTCATCTGTGTGCTGCTGCTCCTTGTCCAATCACGTCATGCTGGTGTGTTCTTAAAGGATTTTGCATTGCATAACTGACCACTAAAGACTTAATCAGGGCCTATATTGTGCAGTTTTTCTCTGCAGACCTACTAATATACACTTTTCTCTCTTAGGTATACGGATGGTCCTCAGTAATCGCTCCTACCGAGGCACAGTAGAATTCCTGGAGGCCAATGACAACAATTCCAGCCCAAGAGACAATACTCGCTGCAGGACAGGGTAACATAATGCTTATTGCCATTATATGCCGTTTTATATACATCAGTATGGATTTGTCCATAAATGGATCATTTTAAAGGGGCCAACCACAGTCTCATGGAAGCACAGTTCGTTCCTTCCATGTTTCCAATAGCAGGGAATTATGGGATCTATATTAGAGGCTGTTTATGCTAAGTGGAGTCTTAAGGTGGCCATACACTGTACAACCATTGCAAGACCTTAGTCTTGCGATGGTTGTAAAGTGATTAACAAAACGTATGATCTGCCCATCTTGGACAGGCAGATCGTACTCTCGATCATTGCAAGCCCCCCCCTTGAGGGGCGGGCTTCCGATGTCCGCAATGCTGAATGGGCAGTGTGCGCGTGCGCACACCGGCCCGTTCGGCATTTGTCTCCCGAGCACCGTTCAAACCAGCCGAAAATCGTACGATTTTCTAGTGTGCTCCCTAGACAAAAGACGTGCGACCGTACAGTAAAAACGGTTGCACGTCTTCCATACACTTTGCGATTATCGTACGATCGCGGGATTTCCCGCGATTATCTTGCAATAATCGCACAGTGTATGGGCACCTTAAGTGTAGTATAACTTCATCCATAAGTCCAATAACACAGAATTAGGGGTAACACCAGCTGCAGCCACTGCTGTATAATTAGAGCAGGTCCTGGCTGCCATCTTGACAGCCAGGATTTGCCAACAAGCGTGGCAATGGCAATCATCGTGTATGTGACGATACCAGTTTAACCTGTTGGGCATGTTGCATTTTCGTTACAGTTAATGATTTAATTGCCATATTGTTTGTCACATTGAACACACGTTGCACTGAATATATGTTGTGGTTTACCCACGGGAAAGGAATTAGAATAACTACAACAGTATAATCAATTCACATCTTAGTAAGTTAGGGATATCACCTTTCTATTTTTGGAGTTTATACCTTTTTTGCACACTTTATTCATAAGTTCACACCCCCTAATGTTTTAAACGCATATAGTGTTAAACTTTTACTTCATTTGGGTAGAACCCATTACAACACTGAAAAGAGACACACACAAAGAATTAATTATTCACAAGGATTTAAGTTCATTATTCACAGAGTTCAGTGTCACGGAAGATTACAATCATCACACTTATATCACCCATCATTTAAGTTAATGGAAGTATGTTGCTTTGTAGAAGTACAGCCCTAGAACATGGCATTATGGGTAAAAAATAAATGTTACAGCGGCCAGTCAGGGTCTGTTGGCTCATAGAAGCACAACTCCATCCATGCTCAAGTAAGAGGACATGATGTGAAATGATGTAAAGGCAACTACCTTGATGGTTCAGTTGTTTATCCTCTGCTTGTTTTTGTCTTTACAGGTGTCTTGTCTGTTCTGAGTCATCTGATAGATTGTCAGCAATATCTGAAAGTAAGAAGTGATTTTTTTTCTTGCAATTACACAATGGGGCTAGTTTATAGAAATGATGAAGAAATACAAAGGAGAAATGATGGTTTATAATGAACCAGATGTCACATATTTTCTTCTATATGCAGAGAAAAATGAAATCAATTTGGCTGCAATGGAGGACACATCCACTTTTCCTCTGTACTGGTGTTTCCCCCTTAAAAGCCACCTTCAGTCAAAACATTTTACAGAACCAGGAAATGTAAAAATTAGCCTTTGCAGTGGGGCTACCCTCGCACTGCAAGGGTTAATAGCTCGCTTTTGGTCCAGAAGCCAAAAGAAAATATACTCACCTGATCCTCAGTCCCACTTGGCTAGACCAGACCCCACAGCCTCTTCTCCCCTGGGCTCCGACGATCAAAGGATCCATGAGCTGCATTAGACGTGAGGACACCGAGGGACATTCCACCACTAGGGGGAGGGGAAGTGAAGTGAGCACTCACCACCGCAGGACTGAATATCAGGTGAGTATATTATCTTTATTTGAGCCCCTAGACCAAAATCAGCACTTAACCCTTGCACTGCAAAGGATCATTTTTACATTTCCTGGAATTCTTTAAGTTGTATTTAGGTATTTTCTGCTGCCTGTGTCCCTACTAAGGAAGATTTCCCTTTACTTAAGAATGAAAGTGACTGAATAGTTCTCCAAATGGGCACAGACAAAGACAAAAACACTTATTTAGTAGAGTAAGGACAAGTTAGGACTTCTCATAACTGCTTTTATTACCTGTTGATCCTGCCAATTTTAGGTGGTGGCCTCCTGTCCCTGTTATGGAGTTTACTGTAAAACTCTGTAAAAACACTAAACATTTTGTACATCAAAATCATGTCCCCTCTTAATCCCCTCACTTCCAGCGTGAACAAGTTTAAATTTAGTAACCTTGACTCATAGCTTAGGTCCTCTAGCCGCTTAATTCGTTTAGTTGCCCTTCTTTGGACTCTCTCCAGCTCAAGGACATCCTTTCTGTGGATTGGTGACCAAAACTGGACCGCATACTCCAGATGGGGCTGAACCAATGATCTGTAAAGTGGCAAAGTTATTGCTTTATCTCTACAGTACATTCCTGTTTTAATACAAGACAGTACTCTGCTTGCTTTGTTTGCTGCAGCCTGGCATTGCAAGTTATTATTCAATCTGTGGTCTACTATGACCCCCAAATCTTTTTCCATTTCTGTCTTCACTAGCGGAGTCCCCATTATTATGTATTCCTCTTGCCTATTTTTAACCCCAAAATGCATTACTTTACATTTTTCAACATTAAACCTCATCTGCCATATAGTTGCCCACTCCCCTATTTTATTCAGGTCCTCCTGTAATGTTGTAGTGTCTAAGTCCGTGTCTATTACCCTCCCGATTTTAGTATCATCAGCAAACACAGAAACATGGCTGTTGACACCTACCCCGATATAATTAATAAATAAACATCCTAAATAGTATGGGGCCTAGCACAGAACCCGTTGGCACGCTACTCTCGACCTTAGACTAATCTGAAAAAGAGCCAATTATCAATGGGCACGTTCCTGTAGCCAGTTCTCTATCCATGTACACACCATTTCATCTATGCCCATAGATCTCAGCTTGTGTATTAAGCGTTTATGTGGTACCGCGTCAAAAACTTTGGCAAAATCCAGATATATCACATCCACCGGCCTCCCTCCATCCAGATCTCTACTCACCTCTTCGTAGAATCTTAGTAGGTTGGTCTGACAAGAACGGTCCTTCCTAAATCCATGCTGATTATCATTTATTAGACCACTGTCACAAAACGAAATCCACTAAATAGTCCTTTATCATTCCCTCTAACAGTTTGCATACTATTGATGTTAGACTGACTGGTCTGTAGTTCCCAGGTTGGCATCTTGAGCCTTTTTTGTATATTGGTACTACTGTAGTTTTCAGCCAGTCATTTGGTACCCTACCAGTCAATATAGAGTCCTTGAAAATGAGGAATAATGGTCTCGCTATAACCTGGCTTAGTTCTTTAAGTACCTTGGGGTGCAGGTTATCTGGCCCTAATGCTTTATTTGCATTATGGTTTTCAAGTCTTTGTTGAACCCCGGCTACTGTCAACCACTGCGGTAACTTACGCACTGAGCTACTCGCATTCTTATCTGCATGAAACCCGTCTTTTTCCTGAACACCTCAGCCTTCTCCCTGTTGTTTGTGATTAATCTCCCGTTTTCCTCTTTAATTGGGCCTACCTGCTCTTTTCTTACCCTTTTACTGTTTATATATTGGTAGAATCTTTTGGGGTCCTTCTTACTGACTGTGGCTATATGCTTTTCATAATCTATTTTAGCTGCCCAGATTTCATGTTTACATCTCTTATTGCATTCCTTGTAGCTCTGAAATGCTAATGCCGTCCACTCCATCTTATATTTTTTAAAGGAGAACTATGAGATGAGTGATTTCCACTCACCTCATAGTTCTAGCCGACCTGTGACAATGAGACTGTCACAGGTCGGCTCAGTAGATCGGGAGGTGAGCGAACACATACCGGGTTCGCTCACCTCTCGATCCTGTCACGGCTCTCTGCCGTGACAGGGGGAGGGCCGGGATTCCCCCCTCCCCGCTCCGATCCGCCAGCGCTGACTGGCGGAACGGACGGGGGAGGGGGCGGGTACAGCTGGCTCTGCCTCTAGATAGGCAGAGCCAGCTGTCACTCACGCAGCTGGGCGGATCCCGTCATCTACGTCGGGATCCGCTCCGGCTGCGGCGTCTCAGTATACCGCGAGCTGTAGCTCGCGGTATACTGAGCTAAGGGTAACGGGAGGACGCTAGTTTGTGTCCTCCCGTTACCCTAAGGAGAACTATGGGCAAAAACACTGACCCCATAGTTCTCCTTTAAATGCCAGCTTATTTTCTTTGATGTGTTATCTTACCATTTTATTTAACCATGCAGGCTTAGTTTTTGATCTTTTATTTTTGTTCCCCAATGGTATGCATATGGTAATAGCATTGTGTAATGTACTCTTAAAACTATCGCACTTCTCATCAGTGTTCATTGTGAGAAATAATTTGTCCCATTTAGTGTCATATACTAGATGATGCAGCTTATCAAAGTTTGCCTTTTTGAAATTTTGTGTTCTTGTCAAACCAACACACTTCTCTTTTCTGCACCCAACATTAAAAGTAATCACCCTGTGATCACTATTACCCAATGTATCCCTAATCACTATGTCTGCAACTAAGTCAGCATTATTGGAAATTAATAGATCTAGTATTGCATTCTTCCTGGTTGGGACATCAACCATCTGATCCATGAAATTGTCACGTAACAGGTTCAGAAAACGGCCAGCCTTAATAGAATGGGCGGTTCCATTTGACCAATCAATGTCTGGATAATTGAAGTCACCCATTATAACAACATTTCCCTGCTTACCTTCAATTTCTATTTGGGAATGTAGATGAGCCTCCTCCTTTCCCCTATGTTTCGGGGGTTTATAACACACACCCACAATTAGTTTACGACTAGCATTAGTCTTATCTAGTTCTAGCCTCAGCTTCACATGTCTCTGTCATGAGGTCATCTCATATGTGCACAGTTAGATTGTTTTTTACATAC